TAAAGCCCAACGGGCCGTATACGACCCGTGGGCTGTAGTTTGCCCATGTCTGGGCTAGTGCATATTTCAAGGGCTAGTACATGCCTGATAATGGGACTCATTGTATTCCCACTAAGTAGCTGGATGATAACTTCACATAGTTGGTCAACTTCGTCATTGTGGATTGTTGGAGGATCGACTTTAATTATCTTTATCTTGTAGTGTTTTGAGAGCTGGTGACAGCGTTGAGGCCATCATCCAACATAGAATCAATCATGGCTGATGATGAGGGCATGTGTGGGTGGCTTGTGCATAAATGGGGCATCGACATCTTTGAGAGGCGACCTTCGGTCCTGAATCGAGTCGAATAGGTTTAGTTTTGATTTTACAAATTGCTAATTTTTCGTGGTAAAATTTCATTTACGTGTTATTTGTTAGACCAGGCGAGAACTCACGGGACCAGAATAGTCTACTTGGCAAGAATGATCTGGGATGGTCGCGAAATGGGGTTCGTTAATTAATATTTAAAATATTGTTCGATAAAAAACAAAAAATCTGGACAGACAAGGAGATCTACAGTGAGGGAAATAGTATTTGATCCCCTGTTGATTTTGTACGTTTGCCCACTGACAAGCAAATGATCAGTCTATAATTTTAATGGTAGGTGTATTTGAACAGTGAGAGACAGAATAACAACAACAAAATCCAGAAAAACGCATGTCAAAAATGTTATAAATTGATTTGCATTTTAATGAGGGAAATAAGTATTTGACTTCTCTGCAAAACATGACTTAGTACTTGGTGGCTAAACCCAGTGGCGGCTTCTGCAAAATTTCTCAGGGGGGGCAAATGTCTGGATGATTGATAAGGATAAGGTCCACCCATGCAATGGATAAATTAACAGCTTAAGCATGTAAAGGCAACTTCACTTCTTTAATATTAATGAAAAATAAAGTGACTCTTACAATACATCTTGTTTGTTTCTATACTCACTATTAATACAATCCACTCAAGTTTCTTTTATTAAAGATTCCACTAGGTGATGACAAATTATATTGTTGGATGAAACGTGCTTACGTATGATGACGTAAGCACGTTAGGGCGAGCCCTCCCGGAAGCCATAGAGAATGCATTGGAGCGCCCCCCGTTCGAAAAAAAACATCTTTGAATGTAAGTCTATGGGGCCACTCGGGGCGATTCTCAGCCGGAGTGAAATTGCCCAAAAAGAGGCGGTACTCCACAGAACGTGACATGACGCTGATTGGACTATATCCAGAGGCACAGTGACGGCTAGCGTGACTCTGTGGTTGAATGACATTGGTGGTGCGTCGCCCAATCGCCCTAATGAAGAAACCGCCCCTGGCTAAACCCTTGTTGGCAATCACAGAGGTCAGATGTTTCTTGTAGTTGGCCACCGGGTTTGCACACATCTTAGAAGGGATTTTGTCCCACTCCTCTTTGCAGATCTTCTCCAAGTCATTAAGGTTTCGAGGCTGACGTTTGGCAACTCGAACCTTCAGCTACCTCCACAGATTTTCTATGGGATTAAGGTCTGGAGACTGGCTAGGCCACTCCAGGACCTTAATGTTCTTCTTCTTGAGCCACTACTTTGTTGCCTTGGCCATGTGCTGGAATACCCATCCACGACCCATTTTCAATGCCCTGGCTGAGGGAAGGAGGTTCTCACCCAATATTTGACGGTACATGGCCCCATCCATCGTCTCTTTAATGCGGTGAAGTTGTCCTGTCCCCTTAGCAGAAAAACACCCCCAAAGCACAATGTTTCCACCTCCATGTTTGACGGTGGGGATGGTGTTCTTGGGGTCATAGGCAGCATTCCTCCTCCTCCAAACACGGCAAGTTGAGTTGATGCCAAAGAGCTCCATTTTGGTCTCATCTGACCACAACACTTTCACCCAGTTGTCCTCTGAATCATACAGATGTTCATTGGCAAACTTCAGACGGGCATGTATATGTGCTTTCTTGAGCAGGGGGACCTTGCGGGTGCTGCAGGATTTCAGTCCTTCATGGCGTAGTGCGTTACCAACTGTTTTCTTGGTGACTATGGTCCCAGCTGCCTTGAGATCATTGACAAGATCCTCCCGTGCAGTTCTGGGCTGAATACTCACCGTTCTCATGATCATTGCAACTCCACGAGGTGAGATATTGCATGGAGCCCCAGGCCGAGGGAGATTGACGGTTCTTTTGTTTCTTCCATTTGCGAATAATCGCACCAAGCTGCTTGGCGATGGTATTGTAGCCCATTCCAGCCTTGTGTAGGTCTACAATCTTGTCCCTGACATCCTTGGAGAGCTCTTTGGTCTTGGCCATGGTGGAAAGTTTGCAATCTGATTGATTGACTGCTTCTGTGAACAGGTGTCTTTTATACAGGTGTAATGCGGGCGTAAACGACCTCCCGGAAGTGACGTCATGGGGGGAGGAGTTACGTCACGTGGGGGAGAGGGTTCAGGTCTATAAGGGGAGAAACCGGAAGCAGTAGAGGAGTGATCGGAGACTGAGAAAGTGTGAGGCCACGCAGGGCGGAGAGTGAGAGAGAGAGTGGCGAGATCGCCACACACACGGACCCCAAGGATCGGCACCGTCGGCCAACGGTGACCGACCCCGGGGCAGCAAGAGCAGCGAGGAGGCTGCAGAGAGCAGCGGGTCTGCAAGGGCGGAGTTGGGCAGCGGGGGTCTGCACGACGAGACAGCAGCGGGTCTGCTAGGAGGGAAGTGGGCTACGTGAGCGACAGCAGCCTGGGGCTGCAGAGCGAAGAGTATAGGGGAGTGCCGTGAGGGAAAAGAGATCGAACCCAAATAAAGGACACAGGACAGAGAGAAGCGTCCGAGTCTTTTATTACACAGGTAACAAGCTGACATTAGGAGCACTCCATTTAAGAGTGTGCTCCTAATCTCAGCTCGTTACCTCTATAAAAGGCACCTGTGAGCCAGAAATATTTCTGATTGAGAGGGGGTCAAATACTTATTTCCCTCATTAACATGCAAATCAATTTATAACATTTTTGACATGCGTTTTTCTGGATTTTGTTGTTGTCATTCTGTCTCTCACTGTTCAAATAAACCTACTATATAAATTATAGACTGATCATTTCTTTGTCAGTGGACAAACGTACAAAATCAGCAGGGGATCAAATACTTTTTTCCCTCACTGTAGTTGTACCTGTTGTGGTACACCACCAATATAAAAACAATACTCCGTGTGCCTGCGATCGTCAAACATTCCCGGCGTGTGCCGCTGCCGCTGTGTTCGTTCCATGGTTCGTGTGAGAATGTTTCTCCGTGTTACTTGTGTATACGCAATACACTCGGGTTCTCAAAAAGTAGTATGAGCCAATACTGGATATTTAAATAATCTATGATGAAATGGATTTAGAAAAAAAATAGATTCAATGTTCGTTTCTGAAAAACTATTCAGATTGAAAGAATATACAGTACTGGCTAAATAATGAGAAGTCTCGGATTCCTTGTGTGTCCCCATGGTCAATGACACGCTGATCGAAGGGACAAATGAAAATGACAAGCTTGAACTATAGAGCTCTTGTCCACAAGCCACCTGGCTATCACAAATGATATCTCAAAAAAGTGGTTCATGACGTGGTAATTTATAGCAGTAGCCAAATACTCAGAAACGCTTTTTCCTAAACGTGGAGGGGAAAAGCCAGTGTACCCGGAGAAAAATACACATGACCACGGTTAAAGGGACATGCAAACTCCAAATATACAGGTGTCAGGGTCGGTATCTTACCCACGAGCTCCTGTATAGCAGGTGAGGTAGTCAACATCTCGCCACGGTGGCACCCCTTGAGTAGCTTGCCATTTTGAGTAGCTTACAATTTAATGTTTCTCTACTGGTGTCATTGGCTGTGATTTCCACGTTTGTTTTTACAGTAGTGTCCTGGACCTTCTTTTAGTATACAAAGTGTTCACTTTTTTATGTAAAATTTTTTATTATTTTATTATTTCCCTTCTACATGACTTTACCGAAAGAACCAAGAATATAAAAAGTGTTCACTTTCACAGGGGCGAGAGTCCACCTAGGAAAATATTTGCAGTATGCAAATAATGATAAGATCTGGTTTGTTAAAATACAAAATAAAACCCCCTTATATACGCTTGTATACGCATACAGTCGATAGAGTACACGACAAAAAAATTGACAACCACTGACCTACTCACGACTTTTGACATATCCAGAAATCCAATGCAATTTCCTGCCGTACACAGTACATAAGTTCAAGTTCGCTAAACAATTCCGATTTTAAATGAAAACTTATTTAACTTAGAATATAATTAGTTTATCCAGGATTTGTTTTATGTATTTTATTAGGAGCAGGTTTTTTGTTTGTTTGGTAAGCTTACTGGTGATGATCAAGGTCAAGTTAATTATTTGCAGTGATTTCAACAGCCAAGGGATAATCTCTTCGTTAAACCGAGGTGTAGTCCTTTGGCAGTGGGGTGTTTGTTATCCTCATTTGAGGGGACAAAGGTTCAACTCGCCACCTCTGCCACGTGAAAGAGACACAAACACGGCAACTGTAATTGCTGCGTTTTTCTTACACGCACCCCCGTCTCAACCGACCTGCCACTGATCAACACGGTGAAGTATGGTCACACAATTCCCACGACCCACAGCACGCTCGGGTTCCCCGCACCCATATCACGTGACAAAACTCAGGAAGTTTCAATTCCTCGTGGCCCTCTCACATGACAAACACAAAAGAGATACCATCTGACTTATTTCACAACTGATTTTTGTTTAAGGTTGGTTTTGTTTGGAACAGATGTAATTTGCAATCGGCACTTTTTTACTCTTTGGTTCTTTCGGTAAAGTCATGTAAAAAGAAAATAAATGTAATAATAGCATACGACATTTCTATTGCACCACAAGCAATCATCATCAGGTACAAATGAAAGAGAAAACAAACCTAGTAAACTTAGACGTATAATGCACACGTGCGTGAGAAGGTTGGCGAGTGAGTCCGTGGATGGCTTCGAGAGCAGCCTGGCGAGTAGTCTGAAACGATGGAAGTGGGCGAGTAGCTCTACGGGTGTGCGATTGATGGCCACAGTCGCACTGCGGTGTAATGCTTCATAGTCAGCGATGGAGACGATAGCCCCGAGACACGGTGCTTCCCCGAAAGAGCCAGCGCTGTCCAGTGCATCACACCTGTATATTTTTTTAACTGTTCACCGCCTCCCCCCGCCCACCCGAAAGGTGATATCACTGCGGGTCACAGCGGCCGTTCGCGCAGTGCAGGTGCGGAGGTTCAGTCGTGAAGTGCAACTGGCTGGAGATGGCATCACACCCAGCGTTCACGATGAAGACATCATGCGTTGGCATCGTCTGCACGATTCTTCTTCTGCCACGGGCGGCGGTCTCTTCTGCTGTAAGCGATGCACTATTTCGCCGCAGGATGTGTTGCGGTGTCCCGTATTGTTATACTGCACAGATTTGTACCGTGGTGTTTCATGGTATACTTATTTAAAGACGGCTGTCTCTGGTGTAGGCCATTCCGTTTCAAAGACAATGCATATATTATCAGAACATGTTTGTTTGCAAGTACGTGTGTTTACTGCAGACTTGATTCCTTGCAAAAGGTTTATATTTGGTGTTTGAACATCTAAACACCTATCTCAATTTCGGAGCTTTCGTGACTGCAGGAATTATTCTTTGGTTCATCTTCTTGGTTCTTTCGGTAAAGTCACGTAGAAGGGAGGTAATAAAATAATAAAAATAAAACATAATATTATTTTATTATTATTTTATTTTATAATGTTTTATTTTTATTATTTTATTACCTCCCTTCTACGTGACTTTACCGAAAGAACCAAGAAGATGAATCCCTGCAGTCACGAAAGCTTTAAATCGAAAAATATTCTTTGGTTCTTTCGGTAAAGTCACGTATAAAGATAAAATAATAAATTAAATAATAGCATACTACGACGTTTCGATTGCAACACAAGCAATCTTCATCAGGTATAAAAGAAATAGCAAGAAAAATCTAACCAGAAAACTACTTGTATGTCTGTCTATAGTTTTCTGGTTAGATTTTTGTTGCTATTTATTTTATACCTGATGAAGATTGCTTGTGTTGCAATCGAAACGTCGTAGTATGCAATTATTTAATTTATTATTTATCTTTATACGTGACTTTACCGAAATAACCAAAGAATAATCTAAACACTTGTTCTATTGCCAAAAAGGATCAAACATATTCTTATTTATCATACATTGATCCTGGCAAAAAGGTCCAATGATACGGAATTGTTTAATGCATTAGGTTTACGTGGAGTTTTCAGAATGTCTGCAAGCTGCACTTACTGCAGTCTAGCGATTAAGTGTTTGACGAAATAACCCAGAATGCGCCCGATCTCTTAGATGGCAGATGCTAAGCAGGTCTAAGCCTGGATGGGCGACTACCATACTTTAAAAAAGCAAATGTCGTAGGCTGCCACGAGGCTATGGTTGTCATAAAAGGACACTCACAAAAACTATCGTTGTACTGTGCTATGCTGCAATGTCTATGGTTCACGCCTTCATTAACTTGCACTGACCAGCATGTTCAAGTACTGTATTGACAAACACGATAACCTCCATGAGCCTCATGGCGTGGTGCAGGAGCCTTCATCCTGTACTGGATGGACAACATGGCTGTATGTATATTTACACTGAGATGAAATGCCACAGGTGAAGTGGACTTTGACTCGCCAGAAATGCATCAGATTTGTCAAAAATTGTGAACCCAGTTGAGTGCAAGCGTGAAGTCACGCGTTGTGTTCTCCACGAAGCAACATTTTCCAACCACAAAGTGTCTCTGAACTTCATTAGTCATTTGCTTACCGTTCAAAACTGCTGACCATATACAGTACAGAGTTTATACACATACGTGAAATAAGTTACCTGGATTATGGAAGGAGAGGACATGTAACGAAGGGGTCGACAAACATTACATTGGTGACATACCGAGAGATAGTAACAGGCACGCGCTTATTGCCCGCGCTCCATCCAGTTACTGAGGGGTTGCGCAATTAGAGGGGAGGCTGAGCGCGTCGCTGCCTCACCTCTCGTCTCTCTCTGTATTTGCAGTGAAGCTCCGCAAATTTGGCGATTTTGACTAGAAAAAAATGATTGGAATCATATAGAAATTTAATTAGCATGACAATAACTTAAAAAAAATTGGGTTATTGTACGTGGTGTAGTTTTTATGCAGTGAAGCAAGATGGGTTGATGAGGGGTTGGTTTAGGCCTGGTCGTAGTTGTGAGCCACAGAAAGCTGGGGGGCTGAAAAGTAATCGGCCAACATTGGGAAGACAAAGGGGAACGGCGAGGGACTGGAGCCAGGAGGGAGAAGAAGGGGGCCACCGCGATCAAGTCCCCCGCACCGCCGACGACGTCCGCAACGTCCGTGCAGTGCAGCAGCAGCAGCGGCGTCCCGGCCGGGCCTGCGACGAGGAAAAACGCGCAGCCTCGGCCCGGCTCGCTTGCCACAGATGCGACGCTTCCCTCCGTGCCCGGCCCGCTGACGCGGTGAAGACCCTCCCGGCAGGAGCTCGACCTCCATCCTTCGGAGTGCACTAAGCCCCGACCATGTCGTGGGGCTGCCGATGCCTCGGCGGCCACATGGCCTGGAAAAGGAGCCGCCCGATGCGGGTGACGGAGCAGCGGCCCACCGGTCACGCGAGGTGGCGCGGAAGTCGCACGGCGCCGGCGAGGCCCGGCGTGGCCCGGCGGGCAACCGCGGCAGCCAGGCCACCGAGAGGACGCCCGGTGGGCGCGGGGGCAGGCAGGGGACACGGGAGAGGAGCGGCGCCTCCAAAAACGCAGAGGCATCACCAAACTAATAAAACAAATAATAGTGGAGGACGGGAAGAAGAAGGGGAAGAGAAAATGGGAGGGAGGTAAGGGATGGCAGAGGGAAAGTAGGGATCGAGCAGATGGCTGCTGCTGCCACCTTGCTCGGCGCTGTCGCCATCTTGCTCAACCATGCACTCTGAGAGAAGTCAAGAACACAGCTACAGATGTCATCACTGAAGATCATTTTTTCCATATTGTTCAGGTTGCACATTGTGCCACAGATACGAGATAGAGACCTAGGCAGTTTTTTTGTGCACTAAAACCAGGAACTTCCACCGTCATTATCACAAATGGGCGAGCCGAGAATTGGAAAAGAGATCTGAGCTGGTAGGTTGCTCGGAAGACCTGGTCCCTGCACAGGCCAGAGCTTCCAAGTCCATTGCTGGAGTCGTATGTCTGTGTGTTGACGTTCTTTCGCGCCGTACGCAGACAGCCGTGCTAATCGGCGTTGCGGGGGAAGGACAACACCCTTCAAGGGGTTGCTATTGTCAACAAGCTATGACCTGGCCCTGCAAAAAATTGAATGATTATGCCACGCAAATGTTCCTGCCGGACATCAAATCCCAACTGCAGCTAGCAAGCCAGGTAGATGTTGTGTGAGATCAGTACCTCACAGATAGTTTAAAAGGAGGTACACAGCACGTGAGGGGGAAGGGAGTGCAGGGATCAGTGGAGCCATTAAGTGCAGTCCGCTGAAACTGGCACAGTATGATTTTATATAGGTAGGAACAACAGGTTCCACACTGCCCACCAGGGATTATTTGTCTGTCTCTCGTGCATATTGGCCTGTCGTACACTCTGCGCAGTTCATTACCTGCCCACTCCGAAGGAACATGCTTTTAATTAATGACAATATGGAGCTGTTCTTCTTCCTAGAAATCAGTGCAGCAGCCATGGACGGCGACAATTAATAACTCAAGTGTGCTATGTACTCATGCCCGAGAGGTCAGGTCTGTCTCCATGCAATCATGTACTGTATGTATGTTGAACTTATTTCGCAGCGTATATGCAGCCAACCGTTCTAAATCATGAGGAGGTCGACAAAAATCCTCCCACACGTTGAAGATTATGTGAAACAAGGGCATATCAAGGTGCTAAAATTCACAGTTGATTTGGATGTGCTCATTTTGACAATGACATAGTCCCAGTGCCCCAACGTCCCTGAGCTGTGGGTTGCCTTTGGAACTGGAAATAATGTTCCGTGTTTTAGCAGCTCGCGAATAACCCGAGGACTGGCGTGTTCTTTGCCAATGTTTCTTGAATTTACTGGGTGTGACACTGTCATATGTTGGAGAAAGAATGGAAAAGACTGGGTGGGACACATGGAAAGCTGACAACAAGGTCACACCAAAATGTTTTGCTTTCGGTGCAACACCACAGTATATAAAATACTAGCTGAAGCCGCTGCAGTCACTTGTGGTCTTGCTGTATGACCATACCAGCAGCCAGAAGTGGTGTAAAACAGACTCGCAAAGAAGGGTAGAGCACTTATACTAAAAACTATTTCATTAATTTACCAGATAAGGCCCACTGAGCTATAAAGCTCGTTTTCAGATGAGACCTGGCCACAAATTATAGGTCAACGAAGTGGCTTATCACGTGGACATGTTTCTAAATGTGGAGGGGAAAACTGGAGGTTCCGGAGAAGAATCCACGTGACCATGGGGCGAAAGACATGCAAACTCCAAATATACAACAGGAGTTAGGGTTAGGATCGAATCCAGGACATTCTGTATACCAGGCGAGTAGTTCAAATCTCCTAGCCATTGTGGCGCCCCTTAATGACCTTCCTCCTGACAAAGGCAGCACTCATACAGTGCACAGAGAGGGGGCTGCGTGACCAGACTTCTCTACTGCTGGTCCCAGATGACAATTGCAAGCTCCAGAGCTTCCATCTCCAAGTGAGTGGGAGTGAACCAGGAATGACAATACATGGCTGGAAAATTTGCTGGACCACTCTTCCAGAAGCTAAGAAAGATTTTAGGCAACTCGAGTGCTGAAACTGCGAGAAGGGCTGCAGGGTACAGTGCAATTGTAAGTGCACTGGACCTTTGTCGTTGTAGGAGAGGTGCTAAAACCTAATGTGTCTATTATAAAAAACACCATGCATTTGATAGTTATACAATTGTAATTATTGGATATACTATTTCATCTCGTCTGCATAATGTATTTTTGTTCAAGAAAGTATCACTTTTATAGTGTAAACCTAACAATATAAAGAACATATTCTTTGGGTCTTTCGGTAAAGCCTCGTAGATAGAAAATTATTAGATTATTTTATCTATCTACGTGGCTTTATCGAAAGACCCAAAGAATATGAATTCCTGCAGTCACGAAAGCTCTAAGTCAAGATTTAATATAAAGGACATCAATTATATTATCGTATGTGATCCTTGTATAATTATTATCAACACAAACAACATTGGAATATTACAACCTCAAGAAGTTTGCAACCCCACAAGTGGATAGAGTCGACCAGAGGGAAAACAATTAAATGGAATGTTGGCCATCTTGGAAAATATCTGCCCCTTCCACCTCAGGAAAAAAAACATCTGTGATGGCCTTAGATGTAAACATCGTTCTGAGGGCTAACCCGAGTGGTGTGCCAAATTTCATCCTTGTGTAGTGTTAGTGAGTCAGAGACGAGTTTTGTAGAGGCACCTTCTTTATTGAGCACACACGCTGTCGCCTGCACACTCTACAATCGCTAGCCTATACACACTAGCCATCTAACACCGACGGCGCTGACGGAGACAGCCAACAACTATCTAGCAGTGCAATATCGAGTGAATACAACAGCGACGATGGCGACGAGGCTACATCAATGACTAGACGATCCAATCCCAAAACCGGCAGCCTCGAGCTCCAGCTCTCGGCCCCTCTTATACGACCAGCGCGGTCTGGCTCTGCCCTGGCCGCGCCTCCCTACTCGAACCCATGAGCAGGTTCCAGGCGCTTACAGGTAGGGCCCTCCATGACCCTTGTCCCATTTCCTCCGCCCTGCCGACACACACACCGTGTATATGCTCACCGGCGTGTGTACTGTTTGTCCACCACAGTTGCCGCTGCTGGTCACCAGCCGGCGCTATTAGACTACACTTGTATCACCAAACCCACAATGTATTCACACGTATGCTGCACTCTAAGGAACAACCATCATAACCACCATGGAGTGAGGCCTTCGACCAGCAGCGGATTGACAACATTTCATAAATAACTCATGTTATATACGTGAAGCATGAACATGTTGAATGAAGAAATAAATATCTCGTTAAAGAATTATTTCATGTTGTGATCTTCTCTTGAAAGCTGATCCCTGGCGCCTACACTAACGGCTCCCGGGATGCGGAGGGCCAGTGCGTGTGTCACGTCTATCTGCCGGACCCCGTCTTCCCGGCCGACGCGGTGGAGCAGCTGCAGCTCCGTACTCAGACGCTCGCAACGGCCGTCACGCTCGAGTCACAGAAGGTGACCTCTTCATGTTTCACCAGGATATGGGAAACGGCCTATTTAAGACAACATGAAATGTCCCTGCGTTTGTATTCATGCCTGTAGTGTTGTAGAGGCCTCTGATGGGTTCTGAGGCTGTGCCACGTGTTGTTCGGCTCGATGTCTGAGGTTTAGTTTCACATGCTGGGAGCTCCTTCACAAACTGAATTCTAAAGTCGAGTTCCCAGTTGTGGATTTAAATGTGGGATAAGAACAAGTATTTCCTTTTAATTTGTATACCGTTTCTCTTACGCCGTTTCCAATCTTACTACAATCGCAAACTTGCCAGAGTTTATGGGCACTTTCTCTACTCCAGAGCAGTAGAAGCAAATAAACAGGAAATTCTACAGCACTGCCAACAACACAGTCCCATACATTTCATATAAATCGTTGTTTGTTAAGTGAACACGTGTAAAAGATCGATTAAAATGCGTTGGAAGGAGATAATATTTCAACTACGCCTGCAGGTGGCAGAGAACCACGCCATGCTGGTGCGCTACACGGCACAACTTCGGAACCTGACGGTGCGCGTGGAGCGAATGGAGCAGGGCCATGACCGCTACACAGAGCTGGACTTTGAGCTGCTGCGGGTGGAGATCAGGGAGATGGAGCAGCTGGTGCAGCAGCTGAAGCTGGAAGTCTCCAGCGCCACGCTCGATCATCTCCACCTCTCGGTCAGTCGCACAGTCCTTGAGCAATCAAAGTTTCATGTCAACTCTTTTGTGACCTGTCAGATGTCCTATTTGGCCCTCAGTAAGGAAAAAGGTTACCCACCCATGATCGAAAAGAGCTAGTCTTTTCTTTTTTATGTCGTATAATAACAGCTGTTTCCATACATTTGCTAACACTTTCCTATAATGTGTTTTTAAACATGATTTAGTTCACTTATTTCAACATTTCGGCCACACAATAAACCCTAAATATTCACAGGAGATACAATTGTGGTTTTGCGTAATCCGCGACGAATTTATCGTAGCGCTGTTTGAAATTCACGGGGTTACATTTTGATTCTTCGCGGCCGTAGCTCGTGACAAGTTGACAAGGAGTCGTGAGGCGTGAGAGCGCTGAAGTTGACCCCACGACGCCGCTTCTCCCCATCACTCTGCCCTTGTCTGCCGCAGTTTGACACGCGAGTGCTTTCCTTTGCATTTTTTTGAATGTTTTTTTTATTGTAAAATATTCATTTATGTATTCATTGATATTTGCACTTTTAAATATATTTATATTAATCCTTATTCAAGGTAAGTTAAATAACACAATAATACTATACAATATATGTATTAATTTTTGAACTAAAGACGGTCACCGCATCGTGTGCTTTCGGATGCACTTCTGCGGCCGTCTGGAACGCTCTTCTTTCCAATACTAGGAAGCCACTGCACCTATGCACTTTGAAATCATCTAGATTGGCGAACTAATTTCTCTAGAACTACTTGTTGTGTTCAGTTTGTTGTCCTTCTTCCGCACCTCCGATTAGCGCGATTGGCTATGTACAGTGCAAAAGAAGTCCAACATACATACAATAAAATCACATGCTTATGTTTAAACGTAATATATTTTATACCCCACCTAATTTTCCTGATAAGCTTCAAGTAGCAATAGTCACGGACATAATATTCACGCCAGTAATGTATCCCACGTGAATATTATTGTATTATCGCAGCTCAAGCTCATCCATTATTACCAGGTTTTAGCAGTTTCACTTCTCTATTTAACTTTCCAATGATTTTACAACTCAGCAATCGCCACTCTTTGAGGTGTTTTTCCTTCTGTCTGATGTCGCAATGATTCTGCTGTGATGTTGTGATTCCTTTTTGTTCAAAAAATTGCTTAATTAGCTCCACTACACTTCCAGGAATTGTTCACTGAATATTAAATCCCTCATTGATATCTTGTTTCTGGAAAGTATGAACCTTACTATCTGCCACTTGTGTTTTCCATGTCCACTAGTGGAAATTCATTTTCATTATAGAATAGATTATTCCTTTCATATATGGCCAGTTCATATATGAAGACGAGTAATCTGAAAGAAGAGGCGATATTGCTTTTATCTGTTTATCCATGGCACACACAAAATTAAGTTTCTGGCAACTCCTGTTATCCGTGACTATGTTTTGGATGAGAGGTGTCGTGTGGAAAAAACTCCTCAATATCCAAGTTTATCCACAGGTGCTTGCTGCAAGATTGAGTGGTAATGATGATGGTGGAGGTGATGATAGAGTGGATGTTGGTGTTGATGATTTAATTATGATGAATGATTATGATGAATTGATGAAGGTTCGTGCTGTTTATGGTCCTGATGTGCACCATTTCTGTCGAGAATCTCACTGGGCTTGAGCAACATCTCCCGCCGTGCGCTGCCTCAGTCTCTCATGTTGCCGGTGATGGTGGTGGTGGTGATGATAACGATGTTGACAGTAATGATGATGTTCATAAGATGGTGGTGATGATGAAGATGATCTTCACTGTGCGTGGCCTCGCTCTCTGGCTGTTACTTGCGCAGTCAATTATGCCACACTGGGCAACAAACAGAACAACACAAGTATAACCACCTAAGAGATGGTGCGATGAAAAAAGTTCAAGTACAGGAGTGAGATGAATCGCGGTATTGCAGGACCGTGAGGAATGGCAAGGCCTCATATCCCATTATATTTTATTGGTTGAATTATGCCAATGGTTTGTAAACGACAGAACAAACTAGACTGTCATGCTCTTTTATCACATACAAACATGGTACACATCGAGTATTTGTTGCAATGTAAAACTATGGTGTTGATGTTCAACATGAATAAAAATGTGTTGCATTAATTATGTCTTGGCCAACAGATCCAGAACGTCAGCGTGGTGGTGAACACACTGGAGGCCTACGACAGGAACAACGTGCTGCTCATCCGGCGCCAGGTGGACACTCTGCGCAAGCGCCTGGAGAACTGTCAGGAAGAGACCAACGCTACAATGCGGCTACCCAGCATGACGCCATCCCGGCCCCCCAGCAATAACCTAACGCAGCCCCGCAGAAACAAGCCAATCCAGCACCCCAGCAACGTGGCAGGCCAGCCTTCCATTGGTGAGTCCCATAAACAAGCAAATTTGAACCATGCAGTGAAACATTTGTGCTGTGTATATTATGTTACCTGGAGTAGTAGCATCATACCGTTCATACAATATTACTACTAATGTGTACCTTTTGTTTCCATGTATCTCTCTTGTTTATCTTGTTCTCATCTCACTAAATATAATCTCATGTCTGCAGCTCTCTCACCTCTTTCTCTTGTTCATATCTCTTTCATCTCACAAATCTGTATCTCTCTACATCTCAATGAGCCACATTTCTTAACAGGGCTATAGCTTGGTCGGCCGGTCTACGCCCCACCAGTCGAAGAACCCCTTGTTAAATAAAGGTGCTTATTCATGTTACATGACTAATCACGAGGCATGAAATTATTCATCCCATGCAAATATGATGAATTGTCACGATTATTCTTGGATCCGATTATTATTATTTTGATCATTATTGGATCAAAGATTATTGTATGTCTCAGTTTACAATACTGTTTGTAATGTTTCATTATTTTGTTCTGGAATGTTTGTGTTTTTATCCTAAATATAGTTTATATGAGCATATAATGCAGCGATGGCCAATAGGTGAATGGCAATCCATGGGTGGGCTTCAAAATAGTTGTGGATCTCATTACAGATCAAATACTGTATTAGCATAAGCATAACACAGTTTTCATTACGGCTAATGAAAAATAAAAATTTTCGTCCAAGAATCCATACATTAAAAAAGCAATAGCTTCTACTAATAGATGGCGCTAGTCGTATTATATTAAGCTGTAGCAATTATAATACAATGTTTATCCACCTCTATATTACTTTAAAAAACAGCCTGACAATTCATATGCAGTACAGGAGGAAACGTGTTTAGCATGACAAATGGAATCTAGTTACATGAATAAAGTAACTTCACTTGTTTAGAAAATAATATATATGCTTGGGCAGTACACGGTTAAATCCGGTAATTGTTGGCAATAGCTTTCGGGTGCATCGTGAAGCCTGTTGAGATCCACTAAAGTGCACCCCAGTGCTTGGTGTATTGGCCACCGCTGATAAAAAGTAACCAATTGAACATAACATTAACAAACAACTTGGATCAATTTAAATCGATTCAATTTAAATTGATTCATAAGACAAACAATTAAATGTATATATCATTACCATAAATATAGACTTGAATTGATAACTAATTAGATGCTTACTAAATATACAATGTCTTTTAATTACATGGTGTGTGTATTTCAGCCGATTTTGAAGGCAAATTTCGCATCTGATATTCTCGGCATTCAAACAAGAACTTTTTTTTTGTCCTTACAGGAGCGTGCAGGCATGGTGGTTTGCAGAATGCCAGTGCATCACATATTCACGGGCTGAACTGGCAAGGTGTAGGGGCCATATACGGAGCTTTTGGGAAGGATCCACTCCCAGCCAGGGGACGTGAAGACATGTACTGGGTGATGTCCAGCAGCGCAAATTCTTTTACTTCATTTCAGCTATATGCCAACTACCGGGCAATGCAGACCTTCGTGAAAATGGAACAAAGACAAATGCAATGTAACTACGATTGTGGCCATGGTATGGACGTAGTGGTATACAAAAACAATTTATTTTACAGATGCAGTACAGGTAACGTGATGTGTAAATACAGTCTCTCAACATTTTCCATTAAACGGGCACAACTACCTCAAGCTGCAGGAAACAACAAATTCCCTTACCTGGGCTCGGCCTACTCGGATATGGATTTCTGCGTGGATGAGCAAGGTCTGTGGGTCATTTACTCAAACGATAGCAAAGTTTCACTTGCTAACATTAACGATGATTCTTTGCAAGTTATCAACACGTGGACCACTTCACAGTACAAACCATCAGTCAGCAATGGCTTCATGGTATGTGGAGTCCTGTACCTCACTCGCACGTTTAGCCTTGAGGCTGAAGAGATCTACTTTGCATTTGACACCAACACTAACCAGGAGAGGTCTTTGAGCATCGTAATTGATAAGCCCTTGGAAAAGATGAGCAGCCTTAGCTATAACCCAGCCGATCATAAGCTGTACATGTATAATCAAGGATATTTAGTCACCCATAAATTGTCATTTAAACACGTATAATTTTCGTTAAATGCTAAATGGGTTAGTAGTGAAGATTAAAATAGAGATTTAGTCATAAGGTAGCATCGTGTACTTTCACACATGCTGTCGACATGAGTTCTCTCCGCCTCTTTTGTTAATGAAATGAGTTTTGCTTTATTCTCCGAGTGTAATCTTTGGACTATCTGTTGCTGATGATTTTATATATCTAGCATTGCTTAATTAATCTCAATATACTTTTTCATGAGGGTCTTGAATTTGCATGTTTGGCCAATTGCATTATTGATTTGCATGCTTGAGAAAACCAGAGAAAATGGACACATGACGGGATATTACTTAAAGATTTGCACAGATAGGTTCACGGACACCTTATAGCCCTCTGAGAGTGAGAGTTTAATAAATCTGTGTCCTAATGCTTGCCTCCTAAGTGATGCATTAAAGTAGTCAACTTCCACTCCACGATAGCAATAAAACCACGAGGCCCTTTTCCAGTTCGCCTTTCATCCCGCTAAACTTGTGCATATAAGTAAAATAGCCGCACTAGGAGAACTGGCAAAACATTAACGCCAGCATCAGTTGCGCACAAGTGCAGCGTCTGGAAAAGGTGGTGCAACTTCTATTGCGTTGGAACAGGAAATAATGAATCCACAACATTATTAATGATACATTGTGAAATCTTCTGCCCCATACCATATGTGGAGTAATTGGGCATAGATTTGCTCAAACAAGGTTTTTGGGGTGCGTTCTTGCCAAAATAAAGATTACTGGAACGGGAATCATCAGAAACAATACCGATCTTGAATCATCCAAAACTCTTATCAATGCTTGACCATAACTCGATCACTGCTCAATCAAAGATTAATCACATAGACATGTATTCCAAATGTCATAGCTTGATCAGTGCTTGATCACAGACACAATATTAAAAATTTAATATCTTGGTCACGGCTTGATCACATAGACACATGTATTAAAAATGTCATAGTTCGATCACTGCTATAGACACATTGAAGATGCCATGGCTTAATCACTGCTAAATCATATAGACACATTCAAAATCATAGCTCGATCACTGCTTGATCACATAGACACACATTCAAAATGTAATTGCTTGATCGGTGCTCTATCGATGCTCAATCAATTCTTGATCAATCAGTGCTCAATTAGTGCTCGATCAGTGTTTGATCAATTTTCAATCAGTGCTTGATCGATCATTGCTTGATCGATGCTTGATCGGCGCTCAATCAATCATATTGATGAACATACTCAACATATCATAGATTGATCTGTGTTCGATCGAAGCTTGACCAGTGTTCGATCAGTGCTCAATCAAGCTCGATCAGTGCTCGATAAAAGCTCGATTGGTGCTCGATCACATCGACCAGCATACTTAAAATGCCAAAGCTCGATTGGTGCTCAGTGCTCTAACGATTCTCTATTGAAGCTCATTTGGCCAATTTTGGCATGCAACATGCTCGGACCAATGCATGCACACATACACTAACTCATGTAATGCGACGTGAATAATAAAAAGAAAAAACACATTTTTTTTTGGAATTCTTATTTCACACATGCACAAGTATTATACTCAGATACACACGCATTTAAGTAAATGGTTTATTGATTTATCTGCCCTTGTTTTAATTCAATCGTGAAAGCTACATTTGGCAGACATATACCTCCCCTACAGGAAATTTCCAAAAACGGGAGGATTTCTGTAAAAAACATGGGGAAAATCTTCAGGTGCTCAACAGCTAAATATGATAGAAAAATCGGAACATTCTGCTTAACAGTGATATACATCAAAAAAAGTTTGCAGTTGTAGTGGGTTAAATGACTAGAGGAGAGTCGCTCTGAGGCAACACGTATTTATTTAACATTAAATCCTTAACACAAAGGGGTAACGGCCCCTTACACCTGATACACTAAGGGGGTAGCCCCTACGCCTCTCACTAGCTAAACAACACCCTTCTTCCGTGAAGCTTGGTGTTCACTGGTATAAGCTGGAGCCGACCCTTGCCAGGGGTGCGGCTCTGCCCATTGGGCTCTTCTCTTCAAGAGGATATTCGATCTTCGGGTGGACGACGACTGCCGTTCAGAGGTCCGGCTTTTATACAGAGCCGTGGCTCGCTCCGCCCCGGCCACGCCTTCCTTCTCGAACCTTCTAGCAGGACCTGGGGAGTGATGTCATCCCCCAGCCCCCCTCCTGGGGTCTGGGGTCTGCATCTCGGTTACCGTTGGGCCCCGTGGCCCATAGTCCATTAAAACTGGGGCTCAGCCCCTCTTCCGCCCCCTATTGGCACGTATGAGATACTACTGGCTAACAGCACGGGAAGTGCACAATAATACCTCAATACAGTAATGCTGCAATGTGAGTGCTGCCACAATTCCAGGTAGTTATTTAATGTTAAAATATAACGGCGAGTTAGTCCTAATATCGCTATAAAGTTAAACAATAACGTAAGCACATGTGACCCGGTCATAATGCGCAAAGTGGCTAAAAGAGGACATGTTGATATATGGAACAATTTCACACAAAAGGCTTCCAAATCTCCCATTATATTTTATTTACAATAGACTACAATTACTAAAGACGACTTTAGAGTCCAGTGACTTGACCATTAATACAAGCTCAAACTAATAAGCCAAGCAAGCGTAGATTGCAGGTAGAGGGGGGGGACATAGGACCTGGAGAAGAACCCATGCAACCGTGGAAGGAACACGCAAACTCCACACATGCAGGTCGAAGCCAGGTAGGGCCGCCGTGCATTGCCCATTGTCCCTGCCCACGTTGTGCGGTCTACTGTATGAGAGGCAACCAAGCAAGCCGGATAAACGACAATAACCTTCATGGTGCCCCTCGCTGCCTGCAAACATGTCATGACATGCAATGGTGCAGATAGATTATAACTACGCATAACCGCCAACTTGACAAACTCACCTTACACTGCCTGAGCCACAGCCCAGTCACACTCCTCCAAAAAATGTGATTGAAATTATATACATACTAAATTACACTTAAATTGTAATTACTTATTTTGATTAATTTTAATATTTATCTTTATCAAGCAAAAAAAGTAGAACTCTAAAAGTGGTGAAGTGTGCAAATATGAACATAGACAATGGTGCAAATCGAAAACAATTTATTTTATTTTATAAAACATAAGCACTCGAGCTACCAATTTGCGACCGATATATTAACATAGAGGTATTGCATTTCCACACACACATTACATTTGGTTTGTGCTCGATATTGCTCTTGAAGAGTTGCAGAACCATGGCGCAAACATGTAATTTATTATTCTCACTAATGGAAGCCAATGCACACGTTTTTTTGGATGATTACAAGTTAGCAGAAGTAATTGTGTGCAGGTCGACGCGAGTGTTGTCATAAGAAATATTTAGAAATCATGCGATTCTAAAAGACGCAACAAGGAAACATTGGGCGCATCCAAAATTTAAAATAAGTAATATTTAAAAAAACGTTTTTTTTAAACACGGTTTAATGAAATGTACCGTACTAGCAATTGAAGAACTCCACGACTCCAGGAAGTGGCCCCGAAGCTTGCCATAACGTAAGGGACCGTGTTCAATTACAGCCAACGTTAGTTTAGCATGGACAATTAGACCCAAGCCGAAGCATAACATATATACATTGTTATACAGAGACCGGTTGTGTGTATTGTTGCTCACACCTCTGCCTTGCTCTCTCCCTCTCCTCGAGATGTCATAGGCGATTGTGCACGTCAGTTTGAAAATTATAAATTTTTGCATAACATTTTGCCTAATAACCATGCATCCCTTTTCTTAATTCACATTTATCCTTAATACTATTTACAGAGGTTGCTGTTTCACTTCGCGTGAAGCCTCGAATCTTCCTCTCTACAGTTTGTAGAAACAACATTTCATGTTCTTCTCTTGTCTGTCCCACTTCGACATATTTAACATTTGGTCGTGACAAATTGGTACAAAAAAGTGGTCCTCATGAACACTTTAAACATGAACCTGCCCTAACTCATCATCAACTTTCACAGCAGTAACTGAGTAGCTTCTTGCACCACCAAGGGGGTCCACAGACCACGGGTTTGGAATTGCTGCTCTCAATTTCAAGGCAAGAGTAGTACACGCGTCGAATGTTCAGCGAACATTTACTCCAAACGCACACGTTGCGGTCACAATGAACATTCTTAAATACATGATTATTATCTCGAGAGCGGAGTACATTTCTCGGCAACTGGTGCAATAGTTGGCAGGCAAAACGTGAAGTGGGAAAACTCGTGTCCTCGTTCCGTGCTGCTTCATAGCACATCAAGGGCTATTACCCGAAACGTCACCCGTTATAGATATATTTATTTTATGGCAGTGTTGTCGACGAACGTGTTTCGGTTTACTTATGTATTTATTGCGATTGTACACAAGTGCAAACGTGATGAGGGTATCACCCAACGCCTCGGATTAGCACGGTTGGCTACCGTACGGTGCGAAAGAAGTTCAACATACTGCACATACAAACAAAATACAGGGACTCGTCTACTTACGAACGACTTCGATTCCAGAAGTCTGTTCGCAAGTCGAGTTGTTCGTAAGTCCCAACTTTACCCCCGTGTCGATTCCACAACGCTGCTGTTGTCACGGCGCGTTCACTAAACACGCGGGGTAACAACAACAACGACTTTACAAGCTATAGTGCCGATGTGTCTACAAGAAGGGGGCCCCGGCTCCTCAAATATAAACCCGGAGGAGCCTCTCACGTGGCAACGAGTGGGGGGGGGCGAGGGAGAGGGAGGGAGGGGGCGGGGCGAGGGAGGGGGCGGGGCGAGTGGGGGCGGGGCGAGGGAGGCAGGGGGCGGGGCGAGGGAGAGAGGGGGCGGGGTGAGGGAGGGAGAGGGCGGGGCGAGGGAGGGAGGGAGGGGGAGCGGGAGGGAGGGGGCGGGGTGAGGGAGGGAGGGGGCGGGGCGAGGGAGGGAGGGAGGGGGAGAGGGAGGGAGGGGGCGGGGTGAGGGAGAGAGGGGGCGGGGCGAGGGAGGGGGCGGGGTGAGTCTGAGGGGAAGCGACGCCGCCGTCACTTCCCCTCGAGGCGCCTGCGGCCTCGCTGTTGCTGCTGCTGCTGCGGGGAGTTTACCGCTCCCCCCCCCCCGCCTCTGGTAGCGCCTCCACCACCCCGCCTCGGCCTCCTCCACCGTCGCTCTCCCGCGCCAAGCAGCAGCAGGAAGAGGAGGAGGGGACACGCGAGGCGAGTGGGGGATCGGCACCCACCACCCCCCCCCTCACCACCAAAAGAACCAAGAATATTAATCCCTGCAGTCATAAAGCTTTAAATCAAGAGTTTATTGTTGTTGATGTCAATGTAGACGCCAGCAATACGCCACACGCGACACGTGTTGACAATTGCAATCGGCTTCACACCTCGTGGAATCGACCCCAATAACTCGCGGAGAGCTCACTCGGCTCCGGCTCACGTGAATCCCTGTTTGACGTGGTGGCCTCTTCTTGTTACAATGTTTCACCTGCAACCCCCCCCCCTACCTGTGATGTGGAACTTGGCATTCATAAGGGTTGTCCAAGGGTGTCAATTGACAGCGGATAAAGGCATACACACGTACACAGAGACTCGCATACAACTCGTTATGAGGTATATACAAAGCAGAGAACCGCATATTTATGAGTCTAAGACTTGCATCTCAAAGATGTTGAGCGCGTGTGTGTGTGCATCAGGGCGATGTTGCCCCTCCGCTGCTGGGTGATGGTCTCCGCGTGTGCCTGTGCAGGTCGTGGGAGATCCGTTCGACAGCTTCACGTCGGTCAGTGCGGGTCGGTGAATCGACTTTGAGACCCAAGTGCAATTTCATTGACCTCTGAATAAGGTTATCCACTCCATAACAAAGGTTTTTGGGTTAGATCGCGTTGGATATAAACGTGTCGTTAAACCCGCCGCCACCCGACAGCCCAACTAGTAAGGTTTGTCACGTACACAATATGCCAATACGTTACTAGTACGGCAGCACACCGGATGTGTTGGAGACTCGCGAAAGCCCTCGTGTTAAACAGGCTATCCAATAATATGTGGGAAGCCTCAACTTGGTGATCCTATAACCCCGCCCCCTGCTCAGGTTGCCTCACCTGGGCCCATATAAAGGAGTGGAGAACGAGGCGAGAATTTTTTAAAATACTGATTTTTCACAGAAGCTTAATCGGCAGACAGACTGTGGCACCACCAGGTTTACCGGTCAAAGCGGGGCGCATTGTAAAGTGTATAGCAGCGGGCAAATTAACTGCTATCAATGAGACTGAATAGAAAGCAAGTCTATAAACCGTTTAAACCTGATTGATGTGGCAGTTCTCGGCATTATTTACTAAAAAAATATTTTGTTTAAGATGTGGTACTTTGAAAATTAGAATACTGCATTAGATTGCAGTGTTGCTCCAGGTGGTTGTGGCTTGAGGAACCCTGTGTCCAGCAGTAGAATGATCATGGTTGATTATGATGTTGACACAATGATACTGCACTGGAACTTATGTTTTATTTCACAAAGTACGGACACAAAAACTTGTGCGAGCATCTCAAGGATCCTTTTTAAAATTGCACTTGAGACTAATTTTAAGCTTTACGAGGCAAACATAAATTATAACTAATTAAAGCTGGGATTATTTAGTAATTGACCAACAATTGTACCCGACTGCTTTTGTTGGGACCGTTTACTCGAACTCCTTTAACAATGGCGACCATCAACATCCTGCCTTTCGAAGGTGGGAAACCCTCGATAAGCCGACCACATCGTGATGCAGCTGGTTCTCCTGTGATGTCACTAAGCCCCACCCATCATCTACCATCGAGCAGTGCACATGGAAACAGAGGTGAGACTCTTTCCACTATCTTCCGGCCATAGGATAAGGAATGGAATCATAATCGGTAAGAGTCGTCTATTAGTATTGCTTAAATAATCGGATGGACCATCTCAATAACTGACACATCTTACAACACATGGCGATGTTGACCACATTCTCACTGTGCGGGCCGTTTCGAGTGCCCATGCCTCAAGTGAAATGTCGGGTGTGTTTGGTGCTGTTACCAGGGATGCGGGGCAGTGACAACGCTGGCGTGCAGGTGGAGAGCCGGCCGAAGGGACAGGCTCACAAGAAAAAGACAAAGAAGAAGAAGAGGCAGAGTGAGGTGGTAAATCTTCTGGCCGAGCTGCCCTTCCTTCACACCGACATCTCCGCAGAGTTCAGCAGTAAGAAAGCACGAGGCAACCCACACACATGTGTGACAGTGGGGTACTGTTTGCATGCATGACTGTTGCTCTTGTTATTGTTTTTATTGTTTTCTGGAATTTTGGCTGAGGTAGGTAGCTTTGGAAGTTGCCGTCGCCCTGCCTGATTCGTGTTGCGTTTGCCTCTGTACCTTGGATCGCATTCTTTTTTTATTTTCTTTCTCTTGGGTGTTCTCATGCCAAGTTTTTTGTTATTGGGCTTTGTGATGTCACGTTTTGAGATGCAATTTGCATAGCAAAAACATTATTGTAAACAGTTTGCCCTCAGGTGTTATTATTTGAGGGCGCTGTGGTGGCGAGATGTTAATTACCTCGCCTGATATACAGGAGGTTGTGGGTTTAATCTCGACCATGATGCCTGCATATTTGAAGTTTGCATGTTCTCCCCTGTGGTCGTGTGAATTTTTTCCCAGGTCCTCCGGTTTTTGCCTCCACATTTAGAAACATGCGTTTAGAGCATTTGACTGCTATAAGTTTCCTCACGATAAGCAACTTCGTTGAGCTATTGTTTGTCGCCAGGTCGCTTCTGAAAATAAGCTATATATCTCAGTGAGCCCTACCTGGTAAAATAAAATAATTTGCAGTTTTTTTTATAGTTTAGTTTAATGCTGCATTACACTGCAAAGACCTAATGAGTGTGCCCAAGGACTTCACTACTGCATGCATTTGTGGCCAACAGTTATAGCCGAGTGGCAAGCAGATTTGCCTTTCAAGTCGGTTTCTATTGCGCTTGTAGTTTCATTAGCTGCTCTTCTCTGTAATTACCATGGGGAATTAATAAAATTAGACTCTAGTACAGGGTGGCCTTTAAAAACCCTGAGATGTTTGCAAGCCTGGGTATATTTTGTACCGGTATTTGCTGGCCAAATGTCACGTTATATGTATTCACAATTGTGGTAGCGGACACACGCAGACAACTAAATTGTTCAACGTTTTCTCCTGTTCGTATATTCTAAATAAACTGATGTATCCCTGTGTTCGTGTGGTGAAGAGGAACTCGTTTGATTTTCACTGCCTCAAGAACATTTGTGAATGTCAGTCAAAGAGCAGCACCAAGGAAAGAGGAAACGAAAAGGATGGGAGAATGAGAGGAAGGGAGACGCAGCCGACACTGATGAAAAGAAGCGGAGACCAAACTACTTTGTGGCGATTCCCATCACCAACAACAAGGTAGAAGGGACTCCGTAGTGTCATCCCGCGTGTCTCTCAATGTGAGCCAGATATTCTATGATGGAAAAATCATGCCTTCAAAAAACGATAACTACTGTGAAAATAAATAATTGAAATCTCTGTTACATAACATCAACTTAATGAAATGTAAAACCATTTCAAGTCCTTTCATTAAATGAAGGTATAAGAAGTTAGTGTTGCACGTAGACTTGGCCTCGCTTTAATCATAGATGGGAGGCATGGATGTGTTATGTTAATATGGTACGGAACAATACATATACAATTCCTGTAGTAATTGCAGAGGTATCACTCTTCTATGTATATAAACATGAAAGTCTGTCTGTCCCGAATACAAATCCACACCGCTAAAGCTATTGCCACCAAACTTTGCAGGGTTACCTTTTGAAACCCCGCGGAAAACCTTAGCTACATGGCGAGTCGAAATTTTATATATGGGGCCCGGAGCCCCGCAAATGGCACCCCACACGCTCCCAGTGACGTTACCATCCCTAATCGAGCATATATTCACCTGGCCCTGCACATCTAACAGTTACACAATGACCCACTCATGAAGTTAATCTAAAATTGCCGTTGATTGTATCACCCAAAACACCGTTGATGATTCCAATCAACGGTCAACCTCCGTGATCACACCCATCTTGCCGTGCGAGACAAACAAACCGCATTAATGTTTCAAAAAGGTTCACTGTATTCAGAAGGAGGGGGTCTATGGCGTTACAGGAACTGTTAAGATGTTGCTGTGCCATGGGGCCTGTAATAAATGTAACATAACGTGCCACAATGGAGTACGAAATGATACTGCGTATGATTGTCGGCAAATGTGCTGATTAATCATGAAGTATGTAATCTGCAAGTAGCAGGGTAATGCGGCATGCAACAGCAGTAGCTGATAATAGGTCTTATTGACCAGACTATGACATATATTGAACTCAAAAGGGAAAACAATATATATTCAGTGACCCCCTCCTGAATATAGTGATTGAGCCACTCTACATTAACAAAGGATATCCGCAAGTACCCAGGCAACGCCGGGTATTTCCTGCTAATTATAACATAAAGTATGCATTTTTTCATGAATATTTTGCCAAATGTGGTCAAGTAACTAAGTGAAGGTGGAGTAACTTTAAGCAGGGTGGTAGCGTTATTGAAGTGTCCATAGCGAGCCTACGTGGCTGCCCTGTTTATCTCGATGGGTGTTCACAGGTGGTAGCTGGCATCCAGGCCGTCCAGGAGGGAGTGGTGCAGCGAGACCCGAGACTGATGCCGGCGCTCATTCCCGTTGCCACGCTGCACATCACCATGCTCGTGGTCCACCTTGCCACGGAGCAGGTTAGCAAGTACGTAAACACTTCTGGCTGTTGCCTGATGAGGCAGGTTATAATTATCGGTGAAATATCGTACTCGAATGTTGTGCGTTTAATCTCCAACAATGGTGTGCTGAACTAGTAACTAATTCATACACTCTGGTTCTTTCGGTAAAGTTACGTAGATAGAAAAAATAAAAAAATAAAACACGACGTTTCTGTCGCAACATAAGCGGCCGTCTGCAGGTGAGAAAAATTATCTGCTTTTGTGGCTGTATATAGGCACGGGAGGGGGGGGGGAAGGAGGAGTTTGGCTGTAGGAGTTAGGCACGAGGGGGGGGGGGGGAAGGAGGAGTTTGGCTGTAGGAGTTAGGCACGGGAGGGGGGTTGAGGAGGAGTTTGGCTGTAGGAGTTAGGCACGGGGGGGGGAAGGAGGAGTTTGGCTGTAGGAGTTAGGCACGGGAGGGGGGGGGGGGAGTTTGGCTGTAGGGGTTAGGCAGGGGGGGGGGGGAGGAGGAGTTTGCTGTAGGAGTTAGGCACGGGGGGGAAGGAGGAGTTTGGCTGTAGGAGTTAGGCACGGGGGGGGGGGAGGAGTTTGGCTGTAGGGGTTAGGCACGGGAGGGGGGGGGAGGAGGAGTTTGCTGTAGGAGTTAGGCACGGGGGGGGGAAGGAGGAGTTTGGCTGTAGGAGTTAGGCACGGGGGGGGGGGGGAGGAGTTTGGCTGTAGGGGTTAGGCACGGGAGGGGGGGGGAGGAGAAGTTTGCTGTAGGAGTTAGGCACGGGGGGGGGGGGAGGAGTTTGGCTGTAGGGGTTAGGCACGGGGGGGGGGGGGGAGGAGGAGTTTGGCTGTAGGAGTTAGGCACGGGGGGGGGGGGGAGGAGGAGTTTGGCTGTAGGAGTTAGGCACGGGAGGGGGGGGGGAAGGGGTTTGGCTGTAGGGGTTAGGCACGGGGGGGGGGGGAGGGAGTTTTGCTGTAGGGGTTAGGCACGGGGGGGGGGGAGGGAGTTTTGCTGTAGGGGTTAGGCACGGGGGGGGGGGAGGGAGTTTTGCTGTAGGAGTTAGGCACGGGGGAGGGAGAGGAGGAGGAGTTGGCTGTAGGAGTTAGGCACGGGGGGGGAGGAGGGAGTTTTGCTGTAGGGGTTAGGCACGGGGGGGGGGGGGGGGAAGGAGGAGTTTGGCTGTAGGAGTTAGGCACGGGGGGGGGGAGGGAGTTTGGCTGTAGGAGTTAGGCACGGGGGGGGGGGAAGGAGGAGTTTGGCTGTAGGGGTTAGGCACGGGGGGGGGAAGGAGGAGTTTGGCTGTAGGGGTTCATAGGGGAGAGGGGGGAGGGTTTGTGGCGTGTATGTATGGCTGGGGCTGGAGAAATTAGCAAGTAAATGGACTTGTAGTAATCGGACAACAAGACACACGGATGGGTGAGTGAAAATCATAGCAGTTAAAATTTTACGCGGTTTATCACATCCTTCTAATGATTGCTTAATCTGAATCCATCTTCCCGATTAAAGTTTTGTCTCGGTGAAAATGCCATTCCGGACATGCAATGTCCTGGTGTCTATAAGCTGAGCTGTGTCTTACGGCAGCAGTTACATTGGTGAAACGAAGCGACGCGTCTCAGACCGGGTTCGCGAACACAAAGCGGATTTGAAACACGGCAGAACCAACACCTCGGCGGTGGCGGATCATTGTTTCAACGCTGTGGGCACACATGACATTGTTTTCTCCGAGACCAAGGTGCTCTGCAAATCCTCGCGCCACCATCGGAGATTTGTTTACGAAGCCATCCAGATATACACAACAGCAGATAATTGTTCTCACCTGAAGAGGGCCGCTTGTGTTGCGACCGAAACGTCGTGTTGTCTTGTATAATTTTTTTTATCTACGTGACTTTACCGAAAGAACCAGAGTATGGATTCCTGTAGTCATGTAAGCCTCAAATCAAGATTAGTAACTCATTTTCATGTTTTGTTTAGGTGACAAAACCTGATGAATTGGCCGTGTTGGGTGGTGGCAGGTTTAACGACGCATTTATATTTACACGATCTAACCCAGAAATCTGTATTATGGGCTTCAATCAAGTCTGCCTTTCTTTCTTTGGATCAGTGGCATAGCGGGCAGGTTCGCAGGCGGTGCAGCTGCACGGGAACTCACTGGCTGGTGGGGCCCATGAACTGGGATACGAAGAAAGGGAAGGTGGGGGTGGAGCGGCCACTGGCTGTTGGCTTGGGACCCCTGGCAGTACCGGTTGTAGGCGTAAGCCACGTAGGCATTTGCCTTGGGTGTTAGAAGATTGTTGGGACTTGGGAGGGGTGGCCATGTTAAGTTCTGCAGTGTTGGTGGCTCTGATTGAGAGGTGCGTGCAGTCAATTGTGCATTCCCCCTGACATTGTTCATCTGCCTCACAGTCAACACTCATTCTTTTAGTGGCATTCACGTTAATTGCCCCTCAGTTGTTATGCATGTTTAAAGCATTTCTCTTACCTCATTTTCTTAGTGAGTATTATTCTGCAAGTCACGTAGGTATGGTTTCTCTCGAGGTACTATGTGGTTGGCAGCAAAGGGCCGTGTCGCAAAATCCTTTGTTTTATTGTACTTCTGTGCTCCCACGTCTATGCCTGCACATCCACCCTCCCCACTTTCATCCTACAGCATGTGGAAGTATTATCAAATAACCCCCACAACTTGCACAGCGGTTGAGAGGTCCTCATCCAGCAGTGTCTTGACGAAAGGGATGTAAAATGTTTGTGCTTTACAGTGCTGTAAGCGCCATGGAGCTCTGCCAGAAGAAGTTGAGAACTCTTGTGCCAGGACCACCGGTGGTGCTACCATTTGAGGGCATTGGAGACTTTAAAAATGAGGTGGCATTTGTCAAGATATCTGATGGACACCACATGTCCATACTCAACGAGATTGCAGGTACGGCCAGAACCGATCACCGGTGCCACATGGAAGACGGGAAGATTTTAAAAAGGGGAGGTCCAGGGTGGACGGGAGATTAAGGGGATGAAGGGGATGTAGGGAGGCCTGTGTGTATCCATTAAAGAGGTGCAATATTTTGTTAATGTCAGTGGAGGCCAACCTCTATGCTTTACTCAGTGGCAGATGACAAATGCTTGCCGGTGCAGAGACACTTTGCATATTTGTAACTTTACAGCATTCAATGTGAAGTGATAACTGAAATCAGTGACGTGGCACTTGCTATTATTATTGTTTGATCTCGATATCTGAATTAAAAAAGGCATGGCCACAAACATATTTAACAAGCTTTTACGGGCAGCAGAAGTGGAAATCGCCCATCAAAAAATTCAGTTGTCTCAGCCCAACACATTTCAGTTGTTGCCGCTCCCCACAGCAGCAGCACAACCTTCATCTAGGCCATGATTCTTGGCTCACTACCCTGTACACAGCTACAACTTATCGGGGCCGCACAGCTATTCACATTGCTCCTGCATAAATGGCTTTGTCATGACATCAGTTTGGCGCGAAGCAAAGAAAAATTCCAGAGACAGGAAGAGGTTCTTATGTTCGAATTATACCAATTTAAATCTTTAATGATGTTCATTTAAAAAAGAGGTCCTATGAACAAAATATATGGCGATTACAATAATATTATTCTTTCTGTGAAGATATTTTACCATTGATCTAGTATATTTAAGCATTCTATCCTGGTACGTTTCTTAGTGCTCTTTATGTTGCAGTTGTCAAGTAATATTCAACATTCTGGTTTCAGAAACGATCTATAATTGCTTTGAAGAGAAAGGCATTGCTGTGGCAGATGGAAAAGCCTTCAAGCCTCACCTTACTTTCATGAAATTGTCAAGGGCTGCAAAGCTAAGGCGCCAGGTATTTAATGAACACTCACTACAAACCTGGACAGCTAAAATTGTTAAATGTTTACACTTTGGATGTAACTCATATCACCCGTGATACAATCATATACTGCCTCAGTGGGCTTTCACTGAGGGGCACGCCGTGGTGGTGAGATGTTAACTACCTCACCTGGTATGCAAGAGGTCATGGGTTCAATCCCGACCCTTATGCCTGTATATTTGGAGTTTGCATGTTCTCTCTGTGGGCGTGTGGATTTTTCTCCAGGTACTCCAGTTTTTCCCTCCATGTTCAGAAACATGCATTTAGAGTATTTAGCTGCTACTTCGTTGAGCTATCATTTGCGGCCAGGTCACTTCTGAAAAAGAGCTACATAGCTCAGTGGGCCTTACCTGGTCAAATAAAAATAGCTTAATCGTATCAACATGACCTACCTCTGTTTTTAAAAAGCATTATTGTTTGGAGACTTTTCAAATAGCTATTGAGAATGGTGGATGTAAAACCCTTTACACACAATAAGATGCTCTTGTGATTTCGAACAAATGATCTTGCACTGCCTTTACCCACAAAGCACCTGTATTATACACACGGTCTGGTTAAGTACATTCAAGACAATTTGTTTTTAAACAGAAAGTGTAAGAGACGTAGATTGTCAAGAGCTACGCTGAACTAAGCCACTCCGTAGGGTTCAGTGGGGAGTCTGCACCTCAAAAGTGCCAGACTAAATAAAGCAGTCAATCATTGTAAAAGCACCCTCGGTTGTTTCCTGAGACTGCTGTACTTTTTCATTGCCTCCCTTGCAGAAGGGAAACTGAGGTCTTTGTCTCTGATGCCACAATATTGCCATGTTCCATCAGCGTAATGCCAAAATGGGCTAGGTCTTCGGGGGCTGAAATGCACATTCATTATAAAAAAAAATTGACAACTTAAGCACATTTTTTGTACGTTCAACATTCATTTCAATAGTCGCAAGATAAATAACTTAAGTAATTTGATGTCACAACACAATCTGTGCAGGTGTAGGTAGTGGACCTGCAGACGAGTGCCCTTTTCAAAGCGTTTTACACTTGGCCGTATATCTCGGATATCGCTGGCGTATAAAACAACGTGATTGACGGTGCGGCAACAGATACTGTTGCCAATAGTTTTCGCTATTCATTAAGAATGTCTAGACAGCAGTTCATACCCATCAAGAAAATACTTTTTACTTTCCTCATGAAAGTGAAACTTACGCTCCATAGGCACCGTGGTGCATTTATAACGTTTTCATTGCTCGTGTGATAATATTGATACAGGCTTGATTTCATTATGCCTTACATTTACAGTAACGCTCTTTCTGTCATGTGACTGGAACTGGCTTGTTCTGGGCAGCGGCCGGTGGATCGCACGCTCGTCGTGTGCACGACACGCACAGCCTTTAATATTGCCATCGTATGGCTCCAAGTATATCAAATAGCTCGTCCTGTTTGTGCTTATTTTTTTTCTGTGTTATCCCCTCTTGCCTATGGCCAAATCACCCAAGATGGGCATGATTTCACCATATGCCAGACTACTCAGGATTGAGAATGTTTGTACACGGATAATAATATAAACTAGCTTTTTTGCCCTTCCAAGGATGGGTGTAATATTGCAGTAAATCTGAAATATTCAATAGAAAAATTGTTCAGCTCATGATTATTAATGAGGGAGGGGGGGGTTGCCCTATGTGGAGTGATATCACCCAATAATGGTTATTGGGGAGGGGTGCGGCATGTGGAGTGACGTCACCTGCTAATGATTATTAATGAGGGGAGGGGTGCGGCATGTGGAGTGCGCGACCTTCTCGTGTTCTTGTGTGTTCATGTAAATTTCCACGCTGGCATGAATATTAATAAAGGGGGGGGGGGGGGGGGGCTCTTTTGCAGTGACGTCACACACGGATGTAGCACTGTGCTGCGTAGATTTATTTTTTACTGTCACTTTCTGTAAAGAAACGTCATTTGAAGTGACTTTGCGTAGTTAATTATTTAATTTAGCTCGACCTTCTCCTGCGTTAGTGTAAAAATCCACCCACTCAATTAATGAAGGGGGGGGGGTGGGCCTCATGTGGAGTGACATCACGTGCTGGACACACACACATTCTTGGCTTATTATAGTAGTAGTGTTCAGTTTAATGTAGTGTCGTTTTGTGCAAATTGCATCTCTCAATTGCTGAGGAAGCACAAACCAGCTGGGAAACAGTAGCCAGACAGTAAGCCGGCACCAAGAATTGCCCAAGCTCTGCGGTCCCTCTATACAAGATGTTTTCATCCACAGAAAACCCACACGTGCGAGAGGGCAACAGTATCGCGGTATACGAGGGAAAGATGACGTTAGTCCGTACTTGTACTGCATTTTCCTGGCAAGGCAGGTTGTGGCTCCCCCTTGACGCCCAAGGGCTGGGAGTTTTTTGCAACATTTGTGTCATCCACCGACCCTCGAGGCTCCACATTGCCAGAATACAGGCGACCACCATGCACAAACAGGTTGTCCTTGGGCTTATACCATTACATCCCTTCTTATGTTTGATGTTTTTTTTCGCTAATGTTCAACACTTTTCAGTGGATTCACTAAATAATCCAAGTAGCACGTCGCCGAAAAGAGTCTTTGGACTCGATGAGACTGTCTTTGGTAAAGGGAGGGCATAACGAAGTCTCCCTCAGATTGTCAAGAGGTTGTGTTTAGTGAATGCTCCTGTTTCCCCCAGTGGTTGCGACCACACGAATCTGAACTCTTCCGGTGTCACCCATGATTATTGACTACAATGATTTTTTTTGTATCATGGCATCACCCCACATCTTCAGGAATCGTGTTCTGTCATAATTGTAAGAAGTCGTGAATAAACAGACCCCGTGTGCGATACGTGGGACAGGGCATCAGGAAGATCGACCCGAGCTTCTATGAAGACTCGAAAGAGGAGTCCTTTCGGGGGGGAGCTGCTACATCGGCTCGATTTGTGCGCGATGCTGAGGAAGAAACAGCCCAGTGGCTTCTACCACTGTGAGGCCACGATAGCTCTTGGTAAGTGATGTGCTCGCACACGTTCACCGTGATAGAAGATTCAGCTAATTCTCGCTTTACCTGTGGCTACATCATCCGACTTGTGGGTTCACCTCGCTTGTGAAATGAACTATCTATGGGTGCACTCATTAATTCCATCACTATTACGAGCTGCTCCTCATTCGTTAAGGGGCAGTGAATCGGTGCCCTTGTGACGTCTTAACGTTTATCGGTAAATGTTATTTTAACAATTTAACAAAAACAATGTTTTCATTATTTTTTTGGAGAATTTCCTGCCGGTTAACTGTGCGTAACGTGTTTTCTGCATTTCCCTGTAGCGTTATAACCTCATTCTGCATCTTCACCAACATTCCACATAAGTAAACAATACGTATTGAGAGGAAGACCTCACAGAGAATGACTTGACGACGACATAGGAGTTTGGTGCCAGAAAGATGTGGCACTACTTGAGCATATTGGCACAAGACAGAGAAGAGTGGAAAAAAATAACGACATATCGCAGTGGACACCTACGAGCTACCTGCCTATGGATCGTGATGCTGATGATGATGACGTATATTTTACAGGGTGGTTGTACATGTGTTTGGCTTTATCTTTGTTTATTATTTTATTGGGTCATCCATCAACCCCCATTACCTGGGATAACTGAGAGTTTACTATATTGCACACTGTTAGAGAAGCAGCTGCATGTGAAAGATGCAAATTTTAGGCAGACATACCGGGTTTCAAACAGGGGCTTGTTTGGTTGTTGCTTCAGCACCGCTACCATTTAACATCAGTTTGCCACTTTGCAATGTTAGAATAATCGTGAGAACACGTGTGGATATAAGTCTCTTTAGTTTTTGAAATTATTATTTACATTCCAAGCTGTTCTACCTCTCTCCCTATGTCAGAATAATTCACTGAAACGGCAAAAACGCTGCACATTGATCGTGGGTCACTTCCTTCCCATCACGTAAGGGCGCGTTATTTCCAGAGAACAACCACACAAGCCAGATGGTCTGAATAGCCCACTCTCATCATGTCCTTAACAGCCATAATGGATGATGACACCACGGTATGATTTCTGGTGTCTGCCCATTGAGTGTCTTAGCCAAGCATCAGTGGTACTCTATTTAAGACGAGTGATATATTTTCTCACGCAAGCTTATTCGGTTTGAGGCTGAGCTAAGCCAAATCAGGTGACCGAGCGAATGTGTCTTGTCGTTGGTGGCCAGGTTAGGACTGCCAGCTGGGTGCCTTTCAGAACCGGGGATTGTCACAGCACCTGTTGTGGTGGTGACTCAGTGCTTGTGACGCAGGCATTTAACTTCATGGTGATCCTTATAACTCTTACAATTGTTTTATTAATCGGCTCTCTTTATGCATTTCACAATCAAGCAGGCGAGGGTTAATATGAGAAGGTTTGAGCCCAAAGAGATTATAAGCATTTTCTTGAGACAGAAAACGCATGGCAAGACAGGCACTCATAAAAGAGCAAGCAGATGTTGATTGAGATAACTACCATGCCGTAGTGTGGGATCCAGGCTTATTGATGTACCCGGGACATTTGTGTAGCCACAGGTTGTAGATCTACTATTCATTAATTCAATACATTATTTGAGTAAGAACTCGCCTCCACTAAAGAGGGCATCACAATACCTTACAGTATAAATTAAACAAATATATTCCTACTCTCTGGGTCTTTCGGTAAAGTCACGTAGATAAAAAAGTAATTAAAAAATCACGACGTTTCGGTCGCAACACAAGCAATCGTCCTCAGGTGAAAATATATAGCAAGATAGCTGCTGAAGCAGGGCGTTATATAGGCCTGAGATGGGTGCAAGGGTAAGTGGGCGGTGTTAGAGAAGGAAGATCGAGGGCACCCCAAAGCTGTTGGGCTGGCCATTGTATCGTGAGAGATTAGCATGTCAATGTAGCCACCGTCACATCGAGGAATGCAACTCAAGAGAGTTGGAAATAACTGCTAACATCGGCAGGTAGGATGGAAACATCACAGCCAGTTATGACTTAAACTGGTTAATAATGAATGCTCAGTTTTGTACCCATCTTCTCGGTTGAAATTTTGTCTGTGTTAAAATATCTGGATGGCTTCATGAACGAATCTTTGTTGATAGCCAGTAGGTTTGCAGAGTTCCTTCATCTTGGAGAAATCAATTTCGTGTCTGCCCACAGCTTTAAAACAATGATCAGCCACGGCCAAGGTATTATAGTCGTACCTTGTTTCAGATCTGCCTTGTGTTCACGAACACGATCCGAGACATGTCGCTTAGTTTCCCCAATGTAACTACTGCCGCAGACACAGCTTAGTTTGTAGACACCGGGGTATTGCATGTCAGGGATCACATCTTTCACAGATGGGATCAGATCAAGAATTGTATGTACTGTGTTGAACCTGGATCTTGTGTTTGCTCATGATTTTGGAAATGTTTTTGGTAACCCCTGCTATGTTATGGCAAGGTGATGGTTTTGATTGGGTCCTCAGAAGGTTCTCTCCCAACGTTTGGGGTGATAGCTTTACGGATAAAATCAAGATATATAAAAATGTCAAAATGAGTGGATATACTCAAGGAAAATCTAAAAAGAAAAAATTAGTCTTGCAGAGTTTCCTGAACTGTATGGGGCACTGTGGGCTTACTATTATACATCTCATAGGGTACACAGTCCATCATAATCGTATTGCTTTTTCTGATAAATATTTTCAGATCGTGGTTATTGTTAATTTTTGTTGAAAACGAAACCGGTTATTTATTGATGAAGTATTTACAATTTCTAAAGTTGTGGGATAAACATATGGCTCTTATCGTTATACTGTATATTATGAAAATGTATATGGTATCATCAACAAAAATATATAGCAGAAACTTTCCCTAATCGTTACACACGATGCATGTGGCTGGTGTAGGTGACCAGCCCGTTGTGAAGGAGGAGGAAGTAGAACTGGCGGCATTGAGCAGGCGGCTGGTGGACACGGCTGTGAAGAGGGCGGTGCTGCAGCTCATTCACGAGACCCAAGTGCTGCCTGGTGGCACAGAACACATTAAGCAGCACCCGCGGCCTGCGGGAGACCATCCTGACACGCCGCCACGTCAGACAGAGGAGTAGTGCACAGAGGGGGGACGGAATAGATGAGTGTTCTCACAAAAATACAAGCGGCTTCAGAAACCAAACGTGGAATCTGTGAACTGCTGCAACAACAGTGGTAATGCCACTTCCGTGATGGGTGTTTTTCTTTTTTAGAGAAAACATTTTTTTTTGCATTTTCCCAGATCACTTTGGCGATATGTTGCCAGGAATTGTTGAAAGCGAATACAAATATATGTTTGGGCTCTTTCGTGGAATGTTTTTTTCTAATATATATAAGGATTTAACGGTTGGTGTGCTATGTACAGTTAAATCGTAAAAATATTGTTTTATTAACGTTCAGCTTCGTGTTCCTCTTGGGTATTTTAAATTCAATTTGTTGTCAGCATGAAAAATTACATTTTCAAATGTAATTGATACGTGCATTTCCATTTTTGAAAAATATGAAAATTCATTAACTTAGTTAATTCTGTATTTCTTATAAAAAATATAATAACTGGCCTGAAAGCAAGTCAAACACGGAGTTTGAGTAGTTGAGAACTGGCGTCCATTATCCGGTGAGATTTAGATTTTATGAGTTGATGAATATTGGGATAAAATTGTCAAATATCTGACAAACCATACATGAGCGTGTGTGTTCAACAGTGTCACCCTACAGTGATCAGCAGTCGTCTCGTGGGTATCACCTTTTGATGAGCGTCACGTTTTACATTTGGAAACCACAATTGTGGTTGTCATGACTAAATTTATCACAAATGTCCTAGCTTACTGCTTTGACTTAATTTAAAACCAGTTTGTGGCGATGTTATTAATTGCTCTAGCGTTAACATGTTGTTTTCATTGCATCGTGCTGATATGTAACTCCCACTTATTATTTTAGGATGCATTTTGTGTACCACGAGTTGCACCAAAAAATATATGCATTTACGATGCATTCACGTGTGAATGCCGTGCAGTCTTTACGAGTTGCAGCGTGTTTCATCAGCATTTTAGGACTCGGCCATCGGCGATTGTGCATCTCGTGTGACTTTTCTCGCTGGAATAAGATGTTAGAAAATGAAGCTCTCAACCATTAGATGTTAGAAAATGAAGCTCTCAACCATTAGATGTTAGAAAATGAAGCTCTCAACCATTACCATTCTGTTGCCCTCTCCTGTCCTGACCTAGCACAATGCCTTCACTCGCTACTTGGTGCCGACTTGTGCCATGGAAGTCTCCAGTAGCAGAAGAGCTTGCTTGGCACCGTGCGAAAGATACACGCTGTATTCTATTACAAAATAGCTCTCCAGCATCGTACATAACCTGGAGCATCATCAACACCTTCATCCTAAAATTATTTAAATGTATTATTTGATGATTCGCTTCCACGCAGCACTAAGGCGAATCTATAAAAATTGAAAGAAAAAAAAATAATTGTAACCGTTTGGATAGCTACCGCCTTAGTGCTGCGTGGAAGTGAATAATCAAATAATACATTATTTAAATGCATGCCTATAAACGTCACCATACTTTAATAGAGATTACCGTTGGTACGGCTATTTTGATACACCCGAGATAGGAAGGACAATATCCAAAGGGCTCGCATAATGCACATGCATAATGTACGTTGACTCATTAATCCCCCCCACTTTGCACAAGAGCACAGAAGCGTAGTCACCACATCTATGCCTCTATATAAGCAACTAAACAGACTTTTCCAAAAATCTGGCTGTCGCCTGATGAAGCTAGTTGTAATTACTGTACTGGCAAAACGTCGTACTCAGATTGTAAATGTTTTGGCTTAGCTCTCCAACACACCGGTGTGCTGTACTAGTGACGAATTGGCATGTTCTGTTTACGTGACAACCCTTACTAGTTGGCTGTGTCGGGTGGTGGTGAGTTTTAACGACACATTTATTTACACGATCTAACCCAAAAAAAGTCTATTATGGTTGTAGTTGGTTATTACTATTTCGCTATTTTTGCAGCACGTTTCGATTGTTATCGCAGGATTTTGCTTTTTTATTTAAACCACTGCTTTATAGGTTATTTGTTTTTAAAAACCAGTTTAAGGTCATTCACATGAAAATGATGCAGTTTAATGGTGCCTTTAAATGAAAGAGCACCGCTTAGTGGTGGTTATTTTTTTTTAAACCTCAGGATACATTATTTTCCTCAATCTTTGTCCCTTCAGCTCTCTTGTCCAGCTTCTCCATCATATAGGTCTCTCAAGGCCTCCACCTTCCCCCATGGGCTGCGTATTCTAACACAATCTGCCCTTTCCCATCCTTGCCACGTGTCCAGTTTTTATTGGAAATTGCCTCTTCACACTCGAGCGTCTCGTCGATCCGAGCGACCGTGTCCTCGCAGGCTCACGCGGCTCCGTGTGCAGCGGAGGCTGCATCGCAGGTGCAGTTGTGAGATTCACACTCGAGATGCCTGCTTTCAGGGACAGGCATTGAGCTACCCACTGCACTGCCTTCGTGAATGTAACAAATGCCATGGTTTTGAAAATGTATTGAAATAAAATATATTTTACTGATTCCCTTAACTACTCTTTGGTTCTTTTGGTAAAGTCACGTAGGCAGAAAAATAAAATAAAAAATAATATATCACGACGTTTCGATCGCAACACAAGCGGTCGTCCTCAGGCTGAACCAGGAAGAACAGCGAGAGAGCTGTTACAAGAGGTTATATATGTTGGCGAAGGGCAAGCAGGCGGGGTCTGAGCTGGAAAGGAATTCCATCCCCGGACGCAAGCACGCCAGTTGTGTTAATGGGGGGAGATTAGGGAAAGAGATTAGCATGAAATGAGCTTCCGTCGCCGCATAAGAGCATCACCCCCGCATATGCGCACAACAGCAGTGTTAATGGGAGATTAGGCAGAGAGATAAGATGAATTATCAAGTTAGTGTCATGTCTATGTGTAACACAAGCTGCGGCGCTGCCAACTGCGTCAACGCAAGAGAACCACCGCAACGGTGGTCGTGCCAGTGAGACACAAAGCCCATCACACAGCCAGAACCATCGGTACATCGAGGCTCAGGGAGCAGAGATGGCCATGTTAGTGAGACCCCAGCCCGTTAATGCAGAGGCACCCAACAGGGCAATGCAACTCAGAGAGTCGGAGATAACAGCCAAACGGCAGGGAAGAATGGAAGCACCACAGCAAGTTACGCCTGAGGGACGACTGCTTGTGTTGCGATCGAAACGTCGTGATCTATTTTTATTTATTAAATTTTTTACCTACGTGACTTTACCGAAAGAACCAAAGAGAATGGATTCCTGCAGTCACGAAAGCTTCAAATCAAGATTTCCCTTTAGTACTTACGATTTTTTTCACTATTATTATTGATCTACGTCAGTCATTGAGAATATTGCAGGTTTTGAACCCGTGATCCGAGTAGCCCAGATCTGGCTTAGTCTCCACTCAGCTACGGACATGTTGAGGCAATGCCTGGGTTTCCCACTCATGAAGAAGCTCAGATGATTTATGCTCACTCTTTGGTTATTTCGGTAAAGTCACGTAGGTAGAAAAATAAAATAAAAAATAATATATTACGACGTTTCAATCGCAACACCAGTGGTCGTCCTCAGGCGGAAAAAAAGCTACAAATCAAGAATGACTAATGCTCCTTCTGGCAGCGCTTGGCGTTATTGGAGAGACTGCAGACTAAACCCAGGCTGTGCTGTGGTCGAGTGGAGCAGTGTTTTGCGCACCGTGCTATTAACTTGATCACCTGAGTTTTACTCCCGGCCATGGCCAACGTGAGCGGGCGAGTGATATCAGTCCCGGCTTTCGGGCCTCCAACAATCTGAACTGAGCAGCCATGGTGATGTATGGTCAAACTACCCCCATGACCAGCACGGCTTGAGGAGGCCTTCATCCGTAGCTGAGTGGCGAGTTCACATATTGTGTTCTGTTGGTGCTCACTGCAAGTAATTAATATTTGTTTAAATTGTGGCTCTTTTTCAGGACAGGAGGCGGGCGAGGGGAAAGTGGAACTGAAAACATTGCTCGAGTCGGAGCGACGGAGTGTGATGGAGAAACTTGCCGAATTTAAGACGTTTCTGATGCTTCCTGAAACGGTACAAAAACTTAAACGTGCACTGGCAAGCAATGTGGAATGACCTCGCAGTAGCCAACCATTTACATTTGAGAATGGTGGTTTTGCTTTAAATTGTTGCTTTTAGAGAGGGCATTTCTGTGGGCTATTTTTTAAAATATCCAAATGGCAATGTGGTGGGCATGAGAGGGCAGTGCAGCATCACCAATGTTGTGCTTTACTTCTATGCCCCTGCATTTATTCTCCCACCGTCAGCAACCCACACTGATCAGCATGGTTAAAGTGTGATCGTATGAACCCTGGCAACCTGCACAGTGTGGGAAGGCCCTCATCGAGCAGTGGCCTCACACGAGGGCTCCACGTGTCCACGTCTGTTGTGTTCTTGGTCAAGTAGCATTGGGCAGTGTTTCCTTTTTATTTACAGTCCCGGGTCGGTGGTGGACATTCACACTATAATGGCAGGAAACAATTATCCACGGAACAATAAATTATTTTCCCATCAAACAGTGCATTATTGCTCACAAGGTGGTGCACATTTTACGCATCCCAGAGAGGGTAAGAGGCAGAATTGACTGGCGAGGATTATAAACAAGAGCATTGTTTAAACGTGGTTCATTTGGCTGTATTCGTTCCTGCTCTAAAGTGGATCCGTACGAGGAAAATACCAGAAGCAATTGTCATTCTCAATAACCTTTATTGCTTCCTTGAGAAATTTTACAGATATATATGTAGAATTCATTGAAGAAACCGAAAGTCCATATTCGGCGAATGCGTTTATTCAAATGGCAGAAGCAGCTCCTCCACACACATTTAGACGATGCACAACCTGAGAAGATCAGAGGACATTGCCCAGTCCGGGTGGACTGCACTGTTCCATCTACCGCACAGCCCAGATCTGGCACCGTCAGATTTCCCTCCGCTCGGCCTCGCTCACGACTCGGGCAGCTTCGCTTTTTGCCCGAATCAAGAACCGAGAACGGTGCCAGAAGTTTTTTTTTTAATCTGGGACAACGTTTTTGTTTTACTAAAGCTACCAGGACACCAGTATGAAAACCATTTTGTCCCTGCTTCACCGAGACGTTTAAAAGAAAAAAGCTTTTTAGCTCACACTTGGCATAACCGTCCCAATTATAACGACAATAGAGCAGCTTGTGACGCGCCGTGATGCTGCGTTCACAATGGACGAGTTGCTCGAGTTGGAGGAGGACGACGCTCGCCCGTACCCTGACTCGAGGACGACCCCTGCGCGGTTGGGGGCCTCACGGCGCGTGCGGTGGAGCCACCAGGGGGTGCTCGGCGTTGGGCGCCCATCGTGGCAAGCGTGAAGGCGGTGCGGTGTACGCGTCAGTTGTAGATTGTTTGTATATTGTACGAGGGTCTGTACGTGCCTCTCAGTTGGGCTCAATGTGCTGCGTTGCTGTTGACGCAAAGCACCCGTGGCTGTCCCGTGGCAGGCAGCAGCGAGCCCTTCGACACTTTACGTGGCCTCAAAGTGCACCTAGCTTGGCACAAGCACTGTGGTGACATCAGTACCACTTAGTGGCGAGTTGCAGCTCGTGTGTGTTGTACGTGTTGTGTATATATTGTATGTTTTGTATTGTTTGTGCACGTATTCTGAACGTGTTATGTATGTGCGTGTGGAAGTCAGTGGATGGGCTGCATGGGGCATTGTGGCAGTGCTCCACCTAAAAGTTATATTTTAAACATTTATATTTTTTAAAGAAAAATAAGTTTAATTAACTCTTCCAAAGTTTTAAGTAAACCTTAGTGAATACTGGCCTCAATTTGTTGGCCTTTAAAATCTATTTTGTTTGGTTTTGGGATGGGCACACATTGGTAATATTGATGATTTGGTTCCGATGTCGATACTTTCCTAACGATGTTTTGATTTTGATGTATTTTTTCACGTAAAAATAAAAGCAAACAATATTTTTAAGATAAATACAAATAAACTGGCCACTCTTCAAACTGAATTGACAGGTGTATAAAGGCAGACCTCGCTTAAGCATGAGCCCGTAGAACAGTGATTCGTTATAGCGCTCTTTGTCCTGGAGAAATGTTTTACTCAACTAAATGAAATTAAAACTTCTCACGCGCTTACGAGTTGAGAAGATGCAGCAGCGCTGGTGGAGGAAACCTACCCGCCCCCAGCATCCGCTCAGCCGATGAACGCGAGATACACTGAGCCAACTAGACCCCCCTCCCGCGATTTGATTGATTGGTGCTCACGATTCCATAAAAAAAATGTCTGTCATTTTTTTTTCAATTACATATATATATTTATCAAGGTGAGAGCTCATGAGAACAGAATAGAGTCTCAGGCTCCACCCTAAAAGAAACCTCATCGCAGAAATGTTGACTTGAGGGCATCAGAAAGACCCGAATTGGAAGCACAGTAGCTCAAACCTCATCTCCCCACCGCTGCAGTAGAATGCACTCGTGGGTACCGTACGTAATACTGATGGTTATAATAAATTACTTTTGTACGTGAAGTGTTTACCATCTGTATTAGTATTAGCACTATTACCAATGCCCTAATGAACTCCTCATGTACTGCTCGTACAAAAGAAATAATGTTGTCGGTGAACGCATCCGCACATATACAATGGGATGAGCCCTGTTAGCGCTGATTCGACTCGTGCGCACTTCTCCAGGAACGCATCTTGAGCTCGAAGCGAGGTCTGCCTGTATACACATATATATGTAAAGTTCATATTCTGGAAAGCAGATGTGTATTCTGTCGTTTGAGATTCGACCCTGCAACAGGAGCCCTGCCCTTTGTATATTTTGTGTAAATGTATTAATAATTAACATTAGTTACGGTGTATCGTAGTGTAAGTTTGTGTTGAGTGTTGACATTTGCCTTTTCACGATTAGATTTTTTACGATTGAATGATTCATTATTATTTTCCCATTATAAACAATGATTTTGTATGTTTCAGTAGTTTTTTCTTCCAAATAGTTAATAAACATCGCATTAAAAACATCAAAATATTAATTCTGATATTTGAATGTTCATTCTGATATTTTAATGTCCGTTCATATTTCAATAAAAAAACAGTGATTGTTTGATGCGCTGTTTTTCTTTCAAAGTTCCTTCTCGAATGTCAATGTGGTCTGTGGCATCAATTACAATTTAGATTCCACCAGCACCCGCCCCCCTCATTGATCGAGGGGCGGCCTCTCATTGGACAATTTAAGCCCCTCCCCCAGATTGCAGCATTGGCGAGAGGGGCGGAGCTGGGGCGACTTAGACCCCGCCCCATAGCCAATCACAAGCTGGCATTCGCTTATAGTCCTGCTTATGCTTTATTAATGAATACAATTGTTAATTTGTTCATTAAAATTTAGTGAGTCACATGTTAATTGTTGAGTGAATTAAATGTACATTTATTTGTAAGTTCTTATTTTTATGGAGCACCTTTATCCAAGGCGCTTGAGGGGTTTTAAGTGGTACAATTCAGCTCCAGGTGATA